CGTTCCTGAACTGTGAGTGGACTAGATCTGTCTAGGAAAACTAGACATGGCAGTCAGATTACAGTCTTACAAAAAACAAGAGAAGCAGTAGGATTTTTTTTTTTCAAGCAATTTGCAAGCTCTGTTCATGGTTGCACATCGTAGTATGACACTTTTTGCCATCGCAGCTGGATATTGTGAACGTGTTCAGGTTGCAATCATAATTTCTCCCTTCCACTCTTCTTTGTCTACTCTTTATCAGATTTGGTCTTAGAACTTAGCCAGCTTTTTCCCTGTCCCATATTGTTTATTCCTACCCGAGAGTGAGAATTTGGTGTCTAACAGGTTCCCTGCCCCGCCCCCCAGCCTTAAGGCATTTCTCTAATTTTGCTCTGTATGTTAACCCTGTCCTCCAACAAGTTAGCAATATTTCCCAGCCCGATGTCATCTGCAAATTTAATAAACATGCTCTCTAATTACTGTAAATAATTTATGAAAGTGCCATATGATAGTGGCCTTTACTTACTTTTTGGCATCTTACTACTTTTCACTCGGACAGGGAACAATTGATTACTCTTCTAAGTACAATTTCCCTCTGTCTTACAGTGGTTTTATTTAGACTGCATTCTCTCAGCTTTTATGTAACATCTGATACAGTTGCTCAAGTCAAGATACATGATGTGTACCACCCTTAATGCCTGATACTGGAAAGAAAACAGGTCAGACATAATATCTTCGTGACAGATTCTTGGCTATTATTTACCCAGCCATTATTTTATTGACTCAGACAAGGAAATGTCAGGTATGGGCCCAATGTTTTTGAAATAACTTGAATTAAATTGGACATTTATAATTTCCCTGGATTTGTTTCCCTTCTTAAAGATCACAAGAACTTCTATATTCCTGGAATATACCCCATGCCAGAAAATTGCTGATAAAGAATTAGCAAAACCAAAACACAGTGTTCTCAGGCTCCTCTACTTTATAGATACGCTTTAATATGTCAGTTCTTTCTCAGTCAGTATTAGTTCTTATTCCTATGTCATTGTTCACAGTTGTGTTAACACTGACTGTAGTCTGAATAAGACGGAAGGACCAAGGGTGCTGTGCACTTTGATTTCTCCATTCTCCTGGAGAAACTGGTGGCTC